GGATTGCTATCTGTGGCTATGATTATATGCTATCAACTATTTGGATGAAAATGGAAAGTCGGCCTACTCAAAGCTAACAGCTGGGCATTTGGAGACACCAGGATAACTCATTGAAGATTGTGGTTTTAAACATGGTTATTTGGCACCATGGAGATACCTCCAGGATGAAATACAGCAGTTGCACAGATCTGTATGTGTGATCTGACCACCTAGAGTCTCTTCACATTGTGCAAATATTTCCAACATCCTGGCATGTGAAGACAACCCCCATCTTGTTCCCTAACCTTATCTCCTACTATTCTCCTTTCACATGTATTTCAGTCAAACTGGCCTAAACACATTTTCCTATCTTAATGCCTGGCTCATGTAATTCCTAAGTCCCGGAATGCCTTCCCTTAATTTATCCCTTCCCAACCCTCCCCCGCCCCCAACCTAACAGTTTACCTATTTATCCTTCAAGGCCTAGCTCAAATACCACTTTTTTTTTTTAACGAAGCCACTCTAGACTTCCTAAGCTAGAGATTATCTCTTTCTCATCTGACTTCATAGCATTTTATATTCTTCCCATTCACTTACATTCTAAGTAGCATTACACTCATCTTCTTTCTCCTGCTTGACTGCAATCTCCCTGTTAGAGACCCCATCTTATATCTCTATATGCCCCCTACCCCAGCACCCAGCCCATACATTGAACACAGGTATTTAGAAACATCTGCAGAACAAATGACAAACATGACTTGTTGTTTCTGGTTGTTCGGCCTCTTGGCCTCTGGGCTGCACTGGCTTTGTGTCATCTGACATTTGTGGTCCATACCTAGATGATTCTTCAGTTACAAAAGCTTTCCAGGATATACCAGAGGCTGGAGGGAGGGGGTGTATATCAAGCAGTCTTCTGCTCTGCTTGCAAACTGTAAGTAAGATGTGCATTCCATTTCTCTAAGACTTCACAGCTAATTACCCTTACAGTCAAAAAGTTCTGACTGATGTCTAACCTCATTTCATCAGGTGTCTTTTCTATAAATGCTTGACCAATGTTAATTCTCACACCATTCCTTGGAAACTTCTAAACATTATCAGTTCTATTGGTGGTGGTGGTGAAAAGAATTGATTTCAACACCTAGAGAAGCCAAGGTAAGTGACAAGATTTCTCTAAGGTCACACAGTGACTCCAGGACAAAAGCCTTAGACTCCTGGTTCCATGGTCTAATCTCATGACTATCCTTCTGTATTCTTGACATTTGATCCTCAAACCTCATTTGAAGACATTAAAAAAAAAATCAGCGTGTTTTGTGCCAGCTCCTGAATTCACCCTAGCCATCTCTTTAATAGCAGCAGGCCAGCAGCAAGGGATTGACTATTTATCCACAAGATCACCTAAATTTATGACAATTGAACTATAAGGGACCTTAGAGACCAATCCCCTTAATTTACAAATGAGGAAACTGATGCAAAGAGGGTAAGGTGACTTGCCCAGGGTCACAGAAGTAGTAAGGGGTGGAGGCAGGATTCAAACCCAGGACCTTTGGTTGAGAAACCAGCACTTTCTACTGGATCTAACTGTCTTCACTGGGCTGACTGAGAGCAAAAAGGGGTGCCTCACTCAAGGTCAGAGACAGTTGCAATCTAGCGATCTGTCTAGTGAAATATACTTCCTCTGAGGCCTCTACTGCCTAGAGATTCCTCAGGGTACCTGTGTAGGGCTTGAGGCTTTTTGTCAAGATTTCTTTCCTGATCATTATAGGCTAGTCATTGAAATTCCTTCCTCTTTCCCTGCAGGGATTACTATAAAAGAAATGCACTTCAAGTCCAGGGAAATCACAACATCCCTCCAAAAATGGATGGGTTCAGTGCAGGTCACCCATTTACACTTTGCAATTCACCTGTGCACTGTAGCATGCAGGCCTGACATTCCCCAGCCCAGACAACACTCACTCAGTGCTGGCTTGATTTAGCACGTCGGGCAGTGCCTCCTTGCTGTTCCTTTGGTGAGGAGTCCCCAGAGCTGAGGGAAGCGGGTCCAATCAGCCTGTGCTGCTTCACAAATTCTTGGAGCAGCACCTCTTATTTGGAGCAGAGATTCCCCCTTAGCAACATCCTAATTGCCATGGCACTTCTGGCCCAGTTTGGGCTCCCTCCTCAACCCCTGCATTGCTCCACCCACTATGGACTTATGCAGCCCAGGCAAAGGGAGGGAAGATCAGAGAAAATCTTCAGAGACTTTGATGCCTTGAACCTGCCTGGTTACTAATAGCTGCAGCCCAGCTGGAGGCAGACTACAATCTTTTTATTTGACTCTGCCATTGTTTGGGCTCTCAGTTTTTCCGTGGGTGAATGGGAGAGAGTAAAGTCTCACAAGCGGCCAAATCTATCCCTGGAAAAATGCTTCTTTCTCTTCCTTTGTATGCTTTCCAGCTCTTTCCATCTAGACATAATATTAAAAAAAAATTCATTCTCCTATCATCCAGGAACCGCAAGCCAGTAGAAGCGAATTTTACCTATATCCACCTCTTCAGACTTAACTGATGCCAGGGCCCTGGGAAGAGAGCCCCAGCACAAATGTTACCCAAGTGACTAAGGTGATCTATTATGCAGCTGTCCACAGCTGCCTCTTCTGCTCAACATTCTAAGCCTAAGGAATCTGTTTTTGGTTCCTGATTCTAAAAGCACTGTTCTGCCTGCAGTGAACCTCCTTTCCCTTTTCTTCCATATGTGAAAATGAACGATGTTGAGAAATGACCCTTATTTCAAATTTTTTAAAGAAGACGTTGATTTGCCTAGCAACAGTGCCAGGCACCCCCCAGAGGTGCTCATGAAGCACAAAGCCTTGTGTTTGGAAGTGCAGGGCACAGGTGAGACTGCATCCCGGGAGTGATGGGTGCCAGGTAGTATATCAGGAAGGAGAGGAGGATGTAAGAGAATTTAAGGGTCTAAGTGTCCCATTACTTCTTTCTCACCTTCTGACCTAGTTGTGTAACTCTATACAGTTGCTATGGCAAGCAGAGCTTGCCCAAGTGCCAGCCCCTTGCCTCACCCTAAGAATGGCCTAGCTCTGACCAAGGACATGCCTCTGGTTTTGCTACAGAGATGCAGCTAGCTACAGGGAAGAGGGTAAGAGTAGCTCCCTGGCACACAGACAAAAGTCTAGGGGAAGAGAAGGGGTAAGAATGCTGGTCACCAAGACTGAAACTTTTGAGAAGGCTCTATAACCATTTAGAATTGACTGCATTATCAATCCAACTTTTCCACCTCACACCGCTTCCCCCTTCCCCAATTCCTCTGCATCCTTTAAATATTAATTGGGGAACATGTGTACCAAGGTGTTATGGGAAATAAAGGGAAACAAATCTTTAGATGGGTTTAGACATTCCACCTTGGAGACAGATCTTAATTTTGCTTAGTACTGCAAAGCACACAAGCAGCAATCAGCCTTTCCCAGGGATCTATCTAGTCTGGCTAAAACTGCTACTTAAGATAGCTTGGAGGCAGGGGTCAGGCTGCTTTGACAGAACCATGGGATAAGGAACAGGTCTGCACTTAGAAAAGGACAGGAAGAGTCCTGGGAAACATTTACTTTCAAAACCAGACTCCCCCAGCCTCAACCATAGCACAACCACACAGCCACACCCAAGAGTGTACACATACACACACACACACACACACACACACACACAAGACCATTTACATGTAATTTTGGAAACCCTTCAAGGGTTAAGGAAAATGGTTTCTTCTAACCCAAATAGGATAGATCAACCCTGCCAGGATTGTACCAAAAAGGAGAGTATGAGAGACCAGGGGCAAACCCAATTCAAGGCCACTACCTTCCACTTTCCAACAGGCAGTCTCTAGAAAGACCCAGTTTCTTCCTCCACTACTGATTTTAAATCCTCTTCCTAAGTTAAAAAGAAAATGGGGGAGGTAGGAAGGAAGGAAGGAAGAAATTGATGTTGACCTCAATCATCAAAATCAACCTGTAATCACCATCATCATCATCATCATCATCATCATCATCATCACCTCTTGTCCTAGGGGCCCACTCCACCTCCCTGTAATAGTGGTTGCACCTAGTGTACAGAATTGATGCCCTGAACTCCAAAGATAGAAGGCAGGAGATTTCTATTTGGAGGTTAGTCGGAGAGCATGGAACACATATGGTGCAAGCCCAGACCTGATCTCCAGTCCCTGTGAGGTCTTCCTCCTCACCTGACACAGAGAAGTCAGAAGAATAGGGAACAGCTAAGCAAAAGTGGTCTTTGGGGAATCTGCTTGCCTCCTACGGTGTAGATATTGGTGGCAGCCTGCCTTTGTAGAGGAAAGGAATACAACTTTATGGAAGGGTATTTCACTTATTAGCTTCCAACTGGAGGGTCATCACCCTAGATTTTTAATAGGATTTTCATTGGTGAGGGAGGGGACAGGCTTGCAGCAGTTAACATAGGAGAGTATCAATGTTCCTGGGAAATTCAGCAGATCCATGAATGGCATGCCCTGGTCCTCTGCCTTTCCCTAAAAGAGCCTTGCAAATGAAGGAAACAGAGCATGCTGTGTGAGTGACCCCGACCCTTTCCTATCTTCTTCATGCATTCGGACCTCGGTCCTCTGATTAGCAGCAGCCGTGTCTCCCTTTAGGTCTGCCCCAGTTATCTGGGGGAGGGGAATGTAGAAAAGAGTGAAACTGACCGAGCCTTACAGCAGGGAAGATTTAAAAAAAAAAAAAAAAAGTCATACTTCTTCTCCAGAGCCCTATTCTCGGTCCCCCAGAAGAGGTGGTCATATCGTGGGGTGGTTTCAAAACCTGGACACACGGTTAACGATCAAGGTTAATGATCAAAAGATGAACTGGAAAAGTGGGAGGGCTTGGGGTAGATCGGGGTGGCGGTGGAAGAGGATGGCTAATGATCAAAAGATTAACTGGAAAGTAGGAGGGCATTGGGGCGGATGGCCTCGGGTAAATAAAGGGGAAGGAGAGGTTAGGAGAGCACGGGAGAAAAGCCGCATTTTACCTGCCAGGCTGTTGTAACAGTCGATCTCTACGGCTTCCACCGTCTTGCTCTGCTCCTCAGTTAAGTGGCCCAGCTTGGCCCCGTGGGCGGTGGACGGTGCCTGGGTGTCCTTGTCCCGCTCCTCCAGGGCTGGCAGCAGCCCCTTGAGCTCCAGAAGCGCCCGGTGGTATTTGCCGATGGCTTCGCGGAATTTCTTGTCCTTGTAGCACTGCGCTCCTTGGTTCTTGAAATCCTGGGCTCTCTGGAGGAGCTCCCCGAGATCCGCCGCCGCCCCAGCCTGGCCCCGAGGGGCGCTACCGGTACCAGCGCCGCCACCGCCGCCGCCGCTGCCTGCGCTGCCCAGGGCACAGGACTTCAGGGGCTGCTGCTGCTGCCCATCCCCTGCCAGGCGGTGGCTGGCGCTCAGCTTCGCTCCGCCCGAGCTGTTCCTCTCCATGCCCCAGTCTCTGCAGTTACCGTGCCCAGTCTCGCCAGCTCACTGCGATCTTGCCAAGCCCTCCGGGATTCAGAAGCCCCAGGAGCGAGTCTCAGAGCGCCCAGTCTTTCTAGAAGCCGTGACCCTTCTTGGCTCTCTTTTGCCCCTTACTCCCATTCTTCTCTCCTGCGGTCAGAGGCTGGCTCCTTCTCTTTTTCCTCGCCCTCCTCCTCCTCCTCCTCCTCCTCCTCCTCCTACGCCCTTCTCCTCTACTCTCCCCTCCCCGCCCCCAGATCCCCCTGCCCCTCCCCCTTTCCTCCACCCCTCCAGCAACCTGCGGGGCTGTGGTCGGCTTCCACTGCCTTTATTGCCGTGGTGCTGGGGATCGCGGGTGTGATTAGAAGGATGATAATTATTGTTGACCCGGAAGGAGCTTGCACACCGTTGGGAGGGAAGACAAATGACAAAGAGAGCCGAACTCTCTCCCATTCAATCCAACCTTCAAAGCAAGGTCTGGAAAAGAGGGAAGAAAGGAGTGGGAGGGGGCAGAGGAGGAGGAGGAGGAGGATGGAAAAAAAATTAAAAACAAAACACGGGGGAGGGGAAGATGGCAACGCAATGTCTACGTGTGCACACGGTGAATCATAATTTTTTTAAGGTAGTTGAGGCTAGGGTGGGTGGGGATGAAGGCAACAGAAGCAAGATCCATCACCTTGCTCTTTGCAGTATTTTTTAAGGGGAAGTTTCCCGTTTAGGGGTTCCGAGTTGTGGCTAGGGTGAGTTTGCGTATGTCTCTATGAAGTGGCTACCCAAGTGAGCATGAAATGGGTCTAGGCGCCTCTGGGTGCCCCCACTTCCTTTTGTGGGCAACTGTCTCTAGAGGTTTTCTCAGAGTCCTTGACCGTTAATGTTGCTTATCAAAGGCTCTGCTTTTGAAGGTGTTTTGGTTTCCCACCTCCACAGACACTATCCAGGATTACATCCATATCAGAGAGTATCCCCCTTCACATACACACACACACACACACACACACACACACACACACACACACACACGGTCCTTACTCTCTTGGGAAAGCTTTAAATTAATTAGGATGCTCCCCGATATGGATGTAACAACCACAATAATAACCATCATTTATATGGAGGTTCAGACTTTTCAAAGGGCTTTTATATTTATTGCCCATTTTGATCTCATAACAACCCTGGGTAGGACTAAAGGGTTACAGGCAGAGTACAGGCAGAGAGGAAATGGGGGCACAGCTGAGTTCAGCAGCAGAGCACATAGTAGGCATCATAAATAATCTGTTAATTGCTCAAGGTCATATAGTTAATGTATGCCAGGACAGCCCTAGAATGAAGGCTGCAGGTGGGAACTGGCTTTTTTTTTTTCATTAAAGGAAGATGTCATGTTAGCATTATTATTAACACCATTATGTTAATTGTTACTAGTAATAGTAATAACAGCCTACATTTATATAGCACTTTCCCCTACTAAAATCCTATTCCAGTGTCTCATCATGGCTTGGAGGTAAACCTGGGTTCTCAAAGGCTATTTCATTAGAGCACAGGCTTTGGCAAGTCCAACTGAACCAGAAAGGCTTCAATTATGGGCAGTGATGGATTGGATGTCTTTTGTCCCAGTACCAGGAGCCCAGCTAAGTTTGGAGAGATTCATTACCAGGTTGGCTGCAAAGCAATGAATTTTTCAATCATAATAGCGCCAGAAGACCTCTTAGGTCAGGGCAACTTGGCAGCTCATTATACTTGGAATCAGGAGTCATTGATATACTTGGGAAATTAGGAGTTTATATCCTGCCTCAGATGCTTACTGTGTGTCTCTTGGAATGCCATTTAATCCCTCTCAACCTTAGCATCTGCATATGTAAAAGGAGGATGATAATAGTAGCATCAGGGTTACTATGAGGATTAAACAATATAATATATGTAAATCATTTTGCAAACCTTAAAGGGATATATACTTGCTAGCCATTATTGTTTTGTTATTATTATTATTATCATCCACTAAGTGATAAAGAGATTGGAATTTGCATCCAGATGGGTAGAGAGTAGTCATACCAACAGTCTCACAGATCCCTGAAGTATTCAACCATATTTGCACTTTACAGTTACAAAACACTTTACTATTTCCCTATTTTCATTTTATCTTCACAAGACCTTTTGAGGCAGGTAATACGACAGTGTTATCTTTCTATTGTATAAGTAGTACAGTCTCAGAGAAGTTAAGTGACTTATTTGAAGTCACACAAGTACTCATCTCCAGTCCTTTGAGATCTTTTGACTCCAAGCCCAACACTCTTTCTACAACTTCTAGTTAAGAACAAAGGTGGGAACTTGGAGGCTGAGGAGTAAGGGCTTTGAATTTTCACTGCAAAAAGAGATTATGGCTACAGGAAGAAATATTGAGGCATAATATTGGAAAATCCAGGCCTGGGGCTTGGCTAGTGACAGAGCCAAAAGATGAATTAGGTCTGCCAGATCATAGACATTTTAACGGCAAGAAGCCCAGGAAAGAAAAAGGAGGGGGAAAGAAAAGCTTTTTGTTTCCCACAATGCTCTCACCTAATGGTCTAGAAGTTAATTCTCAGGCTTTGAGTTTGGGAGAAAGACAGTAGGACATAAAACCTATTATGATTCTGTACATTAAACACAATGATAATAGCTCAGATTTTCATATGGTGCTCTACAGTTTAGAAACTGCTTTCCTTTGATCAACCTGTGAGGTGATAGTGTTAACTTTCCTGTTTTTTTTTTTTAATAGACAAAGAAATTAAAGTTCAGGGAGCTGGATGTTGCACCTGTGCTATTGGAAGTTATAGAAACAAGACTAGAATCAAAGTTTTCTGATTCCAAATTCAGCCCTCCATCCATCAGACCAGGCTGCCTGGAAAATGGTTTATTAGATGGATGTGAGTCATGGCATCCATACCACATCTCCCTATGGTACATATCTTTATTGTACCTTTATTTAACAGAATGATTTTTCTTCTCCATTTTGTCACCTCTTCATAATGATAACTGATACTTACATCAGGATTTAAATTTTGCAAAACATTTTATATGAATTACTTCACTGATCCTGGCAACCCCTTGAGGTAGGCATCATACCTATTTTACAGATAAGGAAACTGAGGCTGAGAGGCAACATGACTTACCCATACTCACACAGCTAGCAAGTGTCAGAAACAAGATTTAAACCCAGGTCTTCCCAACTCCAGGGGATAGTACACTATCCACTAAGCTACTATTGACTGTGTGGGATTCTCAAAAATGACCTCCAAACCCCATGCATGAATGAAAGTAGGTGTTGATAAGAATTCATCAAACCTGTCAATGACAGTAACCCTTATTGTCTGATATAAAGGTTGCAGAAGGGTTGAGAAGAAAAAAGGCAGAGAAAAGGGTATTGGGTCTGACATTTGGGATGCCATTATTGACCTTCCAGGAGACCATTTCCATAGAGTGATGTGGATGTAAGCCACATGACAAGGGCAGATGTGATCATATCTACTATAAGCAAAGCAATATTCTAGGCACTTTGTAAAATTGTAAAAGGTATAGAAGACACAGCCCCTGCCTCTTAATCAGGGGTGTGGGTGAGGGGACAGAAATATCTTCTATGTCTTTTACTTTCATGAGAAAATCAGGGCAGGCTCAAGGGTCATAAAAAAAGATTACAGAAACTTCACTAATTATTACCAGTTACAGCCAATTCAACTAGAATAGCTAGATTCAGGTGAAGTTAGTGTGGGAAGTCTTCTTAGAGGGATATTTGGAACAGAATTTTACAGGAGAAGTGAAACATGGTATAATGACAAAGGCAGCTGCCTATTTCTTACTGTCCTGATTTGGACTGAGGATGTTTATCTACTTGTCAACTTTGAATTCATATTAATATTTCTCTGGTCATGTTGTTATTGTTTAGTTGTTTTTCAGTAGTGTCTGACTCCTTGTGACCCCATTTGGAATTTTCTTGGCAACAATACTGAAGTGGTTTTGCCATTTCTTTCTCCAGTTCATTTTACAGAAGAGGAAATGGAGGCAAACAGGGTTACGTGGCTTGCCGGGGTCACACAACTATCAAGTGTCTCGAAGCCAGATTTGAACTCCGGAAGATGAATCTTCCTGACTCCAGACCTAGTACTCTATTCACTACACCACCTAGCTGCCATCTGGGCATGTTATTTCATGCTTCGCTTACAATTTCCCTGAGGAAAAATCATGACTTTTACCCAATAGAATTCAAATGAAGACCCCTCAAGTACAAGAAGGTTATATAGATCACTTACCTCTCTTGTAGGTTACCCTTCTGCCTGCTACTTGATCAATTTCCATACTTAAATTTATCACCCTGAACTCTAGTGCAATCTAGGGTTATGTTTGGATATTTCCTCGTTAATTAATAAAATTTTAACATATCTCTCCATCAACTAAGCTCAAAGCCTCTATCCAAATCCATCAAATGTTATTTATTTAATAAACTGAAAAACTTCCTTTCCCAAAAGTAGTTTTATCTTTCTGCATTTTAAATCCCTTAATCTTCTAGGATTAAACAAATGTGAAAATTACTGAATATAAAATTAACAATTAAATAAATAATAACACAAATCTATAGATAATTGTTTTGGATATGAAAATGATCATAGCCGGAATGACCTCAGACCCTCACTAGTATTCACAAAAGACTTTACTTCTGGGGCAGCTAGGTGGCACAGTGGATAGGGCACCAGTTCTGGAGTCAGGAGGACCTGAGGTCAAATCTGACCTCAGACACTTGACACCAGCTGTGTAACCCTAGGAAAGTCACTTAACCCCAACTGCCTCACCAAAAAAAAAAAAAAAACCAAAAAACCAACAACTTCATTTCTGAAAATATAATTCCACACCATTCAGTTCATTCAGAGTAATAAGGTCTCTTTGTAAGAATCATGATAAAGATTATCACAGTTTCAGAAAGAAAGATCATACCTCCATCTTCTTTTTCTCTGTCTTCTCCAGCTTTTCTCCAGCCATGACAGGAAAACAGCACCTTCACCTTCTGTCATGTCATTACACTTAATGTTCTTTCTTCAGCTCACTCATCATAAAAATTTCTTTGTGATATCACTTGATATAAGTTGACAGTTCCTACAAGAAAGAAGTTTCTCCTCACTTTCTTTCCCTCTGTCCTCTCTATGGTTTATCTCATAGATTCTCATAGATTAAAGGTAATAACCCACGTTCCTCC